CTTAACGACTGAACAACAACAACAACAACATTCATCTCATGTGCATGATGACATCATGGTGTGCACTATGTCACTCATTCGCCTTTGCCCTCACGAGACCTATGGCTCTTGCTTCAAATGAATATTGACTAAAGTGGACAAGGAGACAGCAGACCAAGAGGTCTTCTTCACATCTGTACCAATATGCACTTCATTTTGCCCATTCCCTTCCTTCCTCAATCTCTTCCTCCAAAATACTGACACAGCATGCAGAATGTATCATGAAACCAAGTATAAACATTTGGCTTTTGTGGGAGCTTGGCATGACCATCCTGGCTCTACCTTATCTGGCAATAGTGGCTCACTAATATGGGGAAAGTGGAGCAGGAAGGGGGGCATTTGTGCAGGGTGCGCATGGCATCAGGGGACATCCCATTGTATCAGGTAACAGAGAAGGACCCTCTGGAATACATGTCATGCAGGGTGGGTTTCTCCAAACCAGAGCCGGCTTTGCATTCCGGACCTGGAGAAACCCACCTTGCAGGATGTAGCGTTTTAGCTCCTCAGGGGCTTTAAAAACATCCACATTCACCCAGGAAAACAGAAGGGTGCCTCCCGGTCCAGGTTTCTGTGGGTGGCAGAGCCGGGCACCTAAGAGGCTTAGGACAGTCCTGCTGCCTGGGGCCACCGGACAGCACAGGTTGATGTTCCCTCCCCACCAGGGAGGAGAGAAGGCAACCCCACACCTGGAGGGCGACACAGATTCCCCCGTTCCCTCTGAGCATGGGCAGAGCACCTTTCTTTCACCACACATAGCAGCAGCCCTCGCTTTCCATGCAGCCCCTCACAATCTCTTACAATTTGCTTTTTACCCAGTGCGTCTGCTGGTTAAAAGCAAAGGGACTGCAGCATCGAAGCCACAATTTCTGCAGTGACTCACTGGATTGCAACCCCAGGATTGCCGCCAGCCAAAGGGCAGAGCCACTGGGGGAAAGCCCATCCCAAATCTAGGCTGGAAATGGAGCAACCGGGGAAAGGTCTCTTCCGGAAAGAGAAGGCAGCTTCCTGCTTCTTCTCAAAGCTAAGCCTCGCTTCCCCTTTCTCCACCCCAGAAGCACCCAGCTGCAGGGTCTGCGGACATCCACCCTGCTCTGGGCAGAAGGTCTCCAAAAGCTTCGGGTAGGGAAGATGTCCAAGGCCAGCCTACTGCTGCTCTGGCTTTGCTGCTTAGTGCCCTCCCCGCAGGGCATAAACCCAGGATTTGTAGGCAGAATCAGCAAGAAGGGATTGGACTATGGTAGGTACCCAGCTTTTCTTTTCGCCACCCCCTGGGCCCCCTCTGCCCCACAGCCAACAGTCTGACAAGAAGGGGCGTGCAGGGCTCACACAGCCTGCAAGGAGAGCAGGGGGTGAACCTGAAAGTGACTTTCCTTCGTTGCACCACCAGTTCTTTGGAGCGCTCTCCCCAGGAAATCTGAGTAGCCACCCGTCCCCCCACCCACTAGTTTGCTTTTAGGAAATAATTAAAAACAGGATTCCAACACTAATCCTGGCTTTTCCAACTGGTCTGGAGCCTCAGCTCTTTGGATGATGACCAAGCTGGGTTACTGCACGCAACGGGCATAGCTGACCACAGGAAAACACTTGAACCGCAAAGCAACTTGGGTTCTTTGGGGTTAAAACAGCTCTTCTGCAATCCTGTGTCTGACTAGATCTAGGTGTTTAACACCCTAACCTACCCAGGGCTTAATTAAGGAGGTGTTTGGAATGCAGAGGGCTTTGGGCACCAAAATGCATCCATCAATCATTTTTGTTTCTTCTTGATAGAACCCATATCTTTTGAGGTTGTCTTGCCATTTTAGTTTTTCGACCAGTGTTTTTCAAACTTGGCAACTTTAAGATGGGTGGACTTCAACTTTCAGAATTCCCCAGCCAGCATGCAGGCAATTCTGGGAGTTGAAGGCCACCCATCTTAAAGTGCCCAAGGTGGAAAAACACTGTTTTAGACCATTTGCTTTTGACAGACTGATTGCAAAACAGGGGTGCAATCTGGGGGCGATCAAACAAGTCAAGGGAGTGGTTGCAATGCATGATTGAAGGTCCACCTCTTTTTACATGTGTTGCAATGCATGTAAAAAGGGTCAAGGCTTTGCTCACATGGTTGTAGCCAACAGAAGAGTCTCTTGTTGCAGCAGGCTAAAATTGAAATGAATGAATGAGTGAAGATGGAACTGGCCCTACCATTGGGCAGAGGGATACGACTGCCTCAGAGAGAGGTTCCTGGGGAGGTGGTGACTTCTGCCATATCTTCTAAGTTCCTTGTGCTGTTATTGGTCTATTAAATGTTTCACACCTTGTTCTTAAAAAAACTCTAAAGGGGTAAAAAAAAATGCCAACACACAAACTGCCCACTTTGTTTCAGCACGCCAACAAGGGGTTGCAGCCTTACAAGAGACATTGGCCACGATAACCCTGCCTGAATTCTCTGGCTCCTTCAGAGTTAAAGTGATTGGAAAGGTCAACTACAAGTTCTACAGGTGAGCCTGTCGGAGCCAAGAAAGTGCAGGAGCTGCTGCTTGCAGAAGTGATCTGCCTTGGGGTGGAATCAAAATGATTGGGGAGAATTATAATTCTGGAAAAGGTTCAGACATATGGAGCGTGTGCTTGAGACCAGGCCAGCCCCCAAGTCCAGAGCCCCACAGTGGGTCCTGCTCGTCCTTCCCTTGACGAAGGCTACTTGAGAGAAGGAACTCCTTGGTCAACCTGATCTGCTCCTCCTATGTGAATCTTCCTACAAGGAACTGAAACTCTTAGGGTGGCTTCATGCCACACAGCTGATCTGTTTATTGCATTAATCCGTTTCCTGGATTTGCATTTCACTTGAACCATAAGCCTACCAAATCACACGCATACAAAATCTAACTCACGTTAACCCTATTCAAGCTTGCCATATTGTCTGAATGTAATTGCTGGGTCTTTAACTGACCTGGATGGACAAG